CTATCAGATAGCTTTATATGACGGTAAAAAGCGATCGAAATTTCCTTTGCTTTTTCTCTCCATCCCAGACTAGTGGTGCCAACCAACATGTTTCTTTGGCAGGAAAACATTCCTTCTTTGTTGTCTCACATTGTTTATCTATCAGAGAAAAGGGGGAGACATGCTTTTGGTTCTTTAATTGTGTGTAAATGACCATGGACTTGTATGTGTATGTGATTATTGCTGGTAAGATCTCAAGTGAGTATTGTCACTGAGATTTTTTTTTTTCAATTCTAATAGGTAGTGTATGTGCAGCATTTTTTTTATAAGATTTATTATGACTGCAGCATTATGATGGTGATGTCAAAGACCTTTCTCTAGATTTCACTGTTACAGAAGAATCATTTGGTAAAAGACATGTTATTGAGCTCAAACCTGGTGGCAAGGATATCTCTGTAACGAATGAAAACAAGATGCAATATATCCATGCAATGGCAGATTATAAACTCAACAGACAGGTTTTCTTTCATTTCATTTTTATTTTTTTGAAAGGGATTTTGTATTAATTAATTTGTGGAGGAGATGTAAATATATATATCATGTGGTAATTCTTTTTTCAAATACTGAATGCAGATACTACCCTTTTCAAATGCATTTTATCGAGGATTAACTGACCTGATATTTCCTTCTTGGCTGAAGTTATTTAATGCAAGCGAATTCAATCAGGTACTCCCCCTTTATTCAGAATTATGACGAACTTTTTCTTTCTCGAAGAAACCTGTTAGGAATGTCTAATTAGATTGATTCATCTTTCTCAATTGTTATGATGTTATTTAGGTGCAATGAGATAATTATGCTAATTTCAGCTACATGATTTATCTATTGGTGCGTTAAAATTGGTTCACTTTTAATCTTTTCTATATTGATTAGTTGATGAGAGTAACTTTTTTTCCCCCAAAAGAAACAGATATTGGCAAACTGAATATCTTGGTATCAGTCGCATGATAATGGATTGTGATAGACGTAATTATTTTGTATACGGGTGATACCACATTGGCACCTATATTTATAATAATACACTTCTCTTTTATTTCAAAAAAAAAAATAATGGATTGTGATAGACAAAGGACGGACATGTCTTGGCTAATTAAGTTATAGCATCCCAGTAAACCTATGCTATTCATAGTTTTTTTTTCCAGATTCCTACATCAAACCTATGCTATTCATTGTTGGCTGTGAATATTTCAATCATTATTATTATTTTTTTTTCTGAATTTGCAAATATATAAAGTCCTGCTTTACCAGATTATAAATCCTGAATACATTCTTGACATGGGGCTGTTTCTTGTCTTTTCAAGTATAGCAAATGGGAGCAAACAGATGCATCTATGAAAAAGCAAATGAGAATTAATAAAACCAACCATGATGTCTTCAGGGTCTCAAATTTTGAAGTTTGTATGATGCAGTCGCACTTCCACTATTAGTCTTATTACTTTTTGAAGGTTAAACTTGATATAGAAAAGAACCTGTTGCATGTTAAGGGTCACAATAAAATAGCCTCCTATTTTAAAGGTGTTAATACAGTTACGGAGGCCTAATTGAACATATGCAAATAGAGATGCCTATATATATACTTCTCCTTAAAAGAGCAATCATGTTTTATTTGATGTGATTCAACTTCGGTGGTGCATCAAATTTTTGCTTCTTATTTTCGAATACCTACATATACATGTACCTATATATGTGTGCAATTCGTACAATTCCATGTCTCTTTTTGCAGTTACTTTCTGGTGGAAACCATGACATTGATGTTGAGGATTTAAGAAATAACACAAGGTACACTGGAGGTTATTCTGCAGGGAGTCGGACCATAAGACTCTTCTGGGAGGTATTTATCAACGTAATGACCTAGTATTTCTCGTGTTCTGAATTTTGTTTTATACAATTGTATAGAAACTTTATTTCAAAAAAAACAAATCGTATATAAGCTGTAATATAATCCATTTTTTGTGACCGTCTTTTCATTCACCAACTCCTGTATAGCAGCAGTTTACATCTAATCAACTTTCTTTTCTCTTGGAGAATATTCTTTCTTTATAATTAATATAGTTAAATTGGTCTCACTTCCCAAAAAGATTTGGTAGTTACTGGAAGAATAGGTATTTAATTAATCCTGTTGTTTGTCTTTGAGACATGGCCTCAAGGATCATATACTCCCCACCTTCGTAAGGTAGGTGAATTCACTTACTATGGTCGGGAACCTAACTTATGCAAGGCTTAGCCCTTCTAGGGGAAAAAAAGAGGCCTGTGGTTTTTGTGGTATTTTTTACTTGCTCCGTCTATGTGCCTGTGTTACTTTAAACATTTGAAAACAAATTTTTGATATCTGAAACCCTCTTTTTTTTTTCTCTTTTTAATTGTCTTCTCCTGATTGTGATTTGGCTCTCTTTCTGTTTGTGTGCGCAAAAGAAGAGAGACGTTCTACCTAACTTGAAATGGATATTCGCATTCATGCTTTTAATTGAAAGTAAACTTCAGCTACTGAAGCTAGTGCATATCTGTGAAGTTTGTAGCAAGATGGTATGATTTTAAGTTTACATTTTTTTGGACTCGCGAAATTTTCTGATGTTTGTGTCACATGTTATTATCAAGGAACAATCAGCATCCTTTTCCGGCATGCAAGATGTTGCCAGAGTTATTATCTTAACCACTTTGCTTTCAATTTTTCCAACAATATAATAATATTAGTTTATGCCTCGACATGCTTATTATTGTAATTGGCTTAAACGGAAATCTCTTCCTTTCTCTCCATCTCTTACTCCCTTTCTGTGCTAGTACACATAGATGCAAGAACAGAAATATGTTTTAGTTTCATCAGGATCCTGTCATTGAATGAATTGTATTTGTTGTTTTTAAATTGATCTGTCTAAGACATTATATTTTCTTAAGATATCCAAGCTTGATTGAGGCTGGGTGCTTAGGATTTATTAGCTTAAGATGTTCCTTATTTCCATTGGATTTCTTCTGATTACTTGATACAGGTTATCAAAGGATTTGAACCGAAAGAACGCTGCATGCTCCTTAAATTTGTGACAAGTTGTTCTCGAGCTCCATTACTTGGGTTCAAATACTTGCAGCCAACCTTTACTATCCATAAAGTACTTCCGCTGTTATTTGGTTAACTTTCTTATCTTCTTGTCATTAGAACCCCTATTTAATTCTTGACATGCTTTCAAAAGTTTTGATTAGTAATAAAAATTTGCTCTAGGAAAAGTCCTCTTGTTCTAGGAAGACAATCTAATTTTTTTTCACAGTAGCATATTCTAATTGAAAGGAACAAATATGCTTTAATTAAATTGTTTCAATTGAGGAAGTTCATCTTGGGTAGGTTGCATGCGATGCCCCTCTTTGGGCTGCAATTGGAGGACAGGATGTGGAGCGGCTTCCGTCTGCTTCTACTTGCTACAATACTCTGAAGGTACTGTATGGTTAATGCATAGGACAAACCTTCCAGAAAAAAGAGCCTGAAATTTTTGGAGCGTCAACATTGTTTTAATCTTGTTATTTTATATGGTTTCAGCTTCCGACATACAAACGTCCGAGCACATTAAGAGAGAAACTTCTTTACGCAATCAGTTCGAATGCAGGATTTGAACTTTCTTAAGTATTTCTCATTCAAACAGGCAGGTAAAACTTTTCTTGTTTCCAATTTTTCCCTTATAATTGAAACATGATTGTCTTTCCTTGGCTATCATTACACTAGTGTTTATGCCAAAAAACAATCACAGATACGTTGACAATACATTAATAAGCATGATATTTTCACTTTGCATCCAAGCGAAGAGAGCTTTAGAAGGGAAGCAAGTGCTTATTTGGCAGAGGCTTAGATAACTAAAAATGAAAGCATTAACAAGATTTTTTGTGCTTATAATAAAATTCTTATATTCTGTTGTATTAGTGCTTCTTTTCTTTCTTTGGACTTCTTACTATGATGTTTGAGTGGTGTTATAAAGGCTAATTGTATGAATTAAGGTGAAAATGCTACTTATAATTCACAGAAGTGAATGCTGTTTAGACTAACTAAAATGTTCTGGTTAGTATTTAGGGAAAAAAAAAGAGAAGAGTGGAGTGGACACTCAGACAAAGAGAATCTTATTGGGTTTCTAATTTTATAGAGAAGCATCACTGATTCTTTTTACGTGTATGACTGAAGGGATTCTACACATACTTCAAACCTATATATTTGTGATAAAATTTATATAAAACCGTATTTAAGAGGATAACAGGTGTGCTGACTGTGGTGGAAGTAGCTTCAAGAGATTAGACCCACTCCTTGTGCAAGTAGATTACCAGCCAAGACCTGGTTAGCTGCTTCTGAAGGATGGAATCCATCCCAAAACACATATTGTGTAGCATTGGAGCATGTACCCAAGGACCGAGCATTGCAAAGCAGGGAGGTTTCTAGTGTACCTGTTCCACAGCAAGCCCTTCTTGCTTCAAAGAAACCTATAACAAATATGATTCCACAGCAAAGGAACATAATGAGTTACTATTAAACATTCAAGACTTTCCTGTCCATTGTGCAATGCTTGTTAGATAGATGTCAGGGTGATGTTTGAATCCATGCATGCCAATAATATAGACAAGTGAAGACATTCCTCTTGTTGAAAGTTCAAAACTAATCATGAGGCTTTGTGACCAAACTATGCATGTCAAACAAAATTCTTTTTTCCTATATGATTGCTGCCAGTGTGAGAAAAATTCATGGAACTTCAGAGAAATTATACTTATTTCAGAAGTAAATGTTGATTTCTTTTTGTTAGGCTCAAAACAATGTGGACTTCTTATGCATGACATTTCCAACAGGCATCTTTTCTCAGTAAGCATATTACCAGTTTCACTTGGCCTTGTGATCATATCCAAGAGAGGGTGGTAGATATCAAAGACCACGAGTTTAAGACCAGGGAGCTTGTCCACGAGACTTTGGGATGTGCTGTTCAGTATGTAGTTGAATGACATGGCATCTCGATTCAATCTTCCAACACATTGATTGCTTCCTGCGCCAAACAGGGTGATAGCTGCCGGCAAGCACCCGATTGGTGGTAGACTTGTCACTCCGATCCTTCGCATTCCCAGACCATACAGATTCTGTAATGGAAAGACAATAACATATTTTAGGGAAACCGAAGGAGAGGCAGATAAGGTTTTACATTTTGTTTCTTCCTCATTTCTTTTTTTGCATGTTAAAACAATTTACTTGAAAGCCTTTGTAAAGATGCATTGTCTGCATGCATTATGCTACCAGGTACCTTTTGTTAGGGAATTAGAATAGGTTGATTTGTTGCTAACTCTTTATTTGCTTGCTTTTTTTTTAATGATCTAGAGATAAAGGTGCTCTAAGACTTACTTTTATGTTTCGAAAATGAAGATACTTCATAGTTTCCTTCACTATGGTCAACTTTGCGGTGGTTTTTAAGTTCAAGTGTTCTAGATCTCGTGAGACTGTTTGTAAAGCCGTAAGTTATATACCAAGTGAAAAAGTTAAATGCATGATACTGGGATTACTCTATTGAGCAGACTGTTTGAAGGATGCAATGAAATTCAGTGAAGATATTGCAGATTATCAAGAAGATGAAAGGTACTTGAATGAAAGCAGAGTAAGATGTCATGAGAATTTCTGAAAATCGCTCGGGGGAGTAGAGCCTATTAAGAATTGGATTGATGTAGTAATTCTGAACAAAATCACTGCTTCCTGCGCTCAGAAGGTGGATTGCACCAGAGAAAATGTCATTGGCTCTTGCTCTTCCCACCAAGTCCACAACTTTATTCTGATACTCCTTGTAATAATTCAATTGGCGGGTCAAAGTGAGTGCACCCTAGGGAAGTAACCAAGAAAACGGTCAGAGTCTAGATAATAAGCATATGCATACATACATATACTTATGTATGTGATTGCATGGACATATGTTTGATTGAGAAAGATGGTTAAACCCTGTTTCATACATATAACTGGGCAGTTCTGTCATAATACCCAGAAGCTGCAGAAGCAAAGTTAACTCCAGTCAGTAGGTTCTGCCCTTTGGCTTCTTGGCTGAGGTAGGCTGGTGGATATGAAGTGAAGCCAAGGAACTCAGCTGCATAGAAAGAGAAAACAGAGCATATGAGAAATCGGCAGTGAAAAAACAAGAGGAGTTATTGAAGATTCTCACCGGTAAAGTCAGTAGCTAGCTTTCCATTGCAGAATCTTCCGGTTGGCCTATGCGTAACGAAGTCTCTTCCGTAAGGAAGGAAGTTTGCCCTGATGAGAGTAGTGAGGTGGTTGTTGTTCCCAACATCAACAACAGAGTCACCAAAGATGATCAGCGCTGGAACAAGAGGTTCCCCATTAGCCACTGAGAACCCCAGAACAAGCAGTAAACAACTTAAAATCCTAGTTGACAACTCCATTTTCTTCTTCCTCTGTTTCAACACTCCTGCACCTCCCTGGCCAGAGAGAGAGAGAGATGAAGAAAAGAGCAGAGAATGATGTGAAGTGGAGGCAGGTGGGGGAAGAATTTATGAGCATTGCTGAAAGGTGATGATCAAAAAATGACATAATAAAGTCATGGTTCCAATAAAAAAGCTGCTTGTTTCAAGGAAAAGATTCATACTTTCCACTCCATAAACATGAGACAAATTATTTTCTAAAATGGGTATACGTTAATACAATACCCATTTGACTTATTAAGGACCAAAGTTATAAATTTTGTGATACACATGATTTGGTTTCTCATTTAATAGTTATTAGTAGAATCACCAAATGAATTATGAATTTAAGTAGTGACCCTAATTTTTTTTCCTTTTGGTTTTCCTAATTATTATGGAAGGTGATAATACTATGTCAATACCCAGAATGATTTTGATAGAAGATCATGATTTCGTTTTGTCTTTATTTGTCTGCTTTTTTTATATTTGTTAGGCTAACAAAAAGAGGAAAGGTAATGATTTAGGGCATGCTGCTTGTGAAGGTGGTGTTGGATTCACATTTTACACACTGGACTAGACGTAATCTTCACTAACAACTTTCTTCTAAAATTAAACCATCTTCTCTTTTTTCTCGTTGCTTCTATACTTGTCTGAGTGTATGAGTTAAGCCATGATTATATATATATATATATATGATATATTTAATAAAATATATAGAATAAAACATTCATGTTTTTTAAATAAATGATACAATGGAAGCTGAATATTCTATTTAATATAATCTTTTTATAAATTAGAAAATAACGAAATGGTGAAAATAATTATTATAATTTGGTCTCATCATTTCTTAATTGTAGTAAAGTTGCAATTTACAAATAAATTTTAAAGTAATTCTAAACTTAACCGAAACATAAACTTTCAGTATATTGATATAATATTATTATATTTTTGTTAGTAATTCAATTGAAAAAGTTCACTCTGTAAATTTTTGATGATTATATAAAATATTTCCTTTGTTCATTTGAGGGCATTCATGGTACTGTGATATAAGAGAGCTTTTATATATATATATATATATATATGTTGTAATATTGCATGCAGTGGAATTCTGTTTTAGTGCCAAGCAACAATCACTCCTGTCAACTTTTCTCTTATGCTTTAGTTGCAGATGCTTTTGACAGAGACAAATCTGTTCATTTATTAGTAAGGTAGTGATAAAGTCTAAAACATTCCACCATTAACTCACACCTAAATTTATTGATGGGAAATCTGCTGCTCTTCTTTTTGTTGGCAGTTTAATAATATCTTGCAAATTTAATTCTTTATTAATTTGAATGAAAATATTGATTTAAACAATATAAATTTAAAATCAGAAAATTTAAATACATACATATAATATGGTGCCAGATTAATTAACTAAACATAAATAATCTTATTATTAAAAAAAAAAAAAAAAAAAAAGTGGTGCCGTAACAACTTCAATTTGATGGCAAGCTTGGAAACAGACGACTTCAATTCACTAAACCAAGTTGTTTCAAATAAATGGTCTTTACACAACTACAGGCAGACGGGATCGGAAACTAGTTATACACAGACTGAAAAGAACAATCGTAGAACAGTCCTAGCTAACTGCTATAAAAATGGAGAAGAACGGGAATCTATTAATTTTCTAGCTCTTTTTATGATGCGGAATTAAGCCATTTGGTTTAACTCGAGCTATAATTTATCAGGGATACTTCTAGTTATCAATGCATCAAGAGTGGGAAGTTATCGTCATCAGTTACCAGAACATAATCATACCCTACTTTGTCTGCACGAGTCCGGAATTCATCCATCTGACTCTGTGGAACCTGGATTCCTACCAAGACATTTGCTCCGGTTTCACCCTGTTGGAAGAAAAAAGTATCAAGGAATCAAATTGGGTTATCATAGAACACCCTTGTTTAGAGATGCTTCAGATGGAAATCTATGTAAACATATGTTTTCTGTACCAACCTGTCCGCGGTAATGGAACAAGCTAATATTCCAGCGTGGACTGAACGAGTCCAGAAATTTCATCAGGGCACCAGGTCGTTCTGGGAAGATGAATCGACAAAGAACCTCATCCTGAAGGTTGGATCTTCCTCCCATCTGAAAAACAGAAACCATGTATACAAATCAATCAACAAAAGAATCACAAATGAAGTATGGAGCAACAGAAGGTCTACCGAATTCCTTTCTTTAACCCTTTCGCTTTCAGTTTTTGGCTTTCTCTTAACAGAATTCTCAAAACTCTTCCCTCTTGGAGGCCAAATGGGATTTTACTTTTCTATTTTAGAAGGAACATTAAAAGAAACTTGAAACCTCCATTTGCATCATTAGTTGAACGAATATAATCACTCGGGCAAAGTAGGAAAATAAACAGAAAGATGTGAAAAGTGCATAAATTACCAAGTAACGCAGGTGATCTTTAACCAAGTCACTGGCTGTGAGGTTGAAAGTTCTAAGTTGAGATGATTCCATTCTCTCCTGCATCTCTTTGAGCTCAGCAACAGTATGAAGCCCGACACTAAATACAACAGTGAGAGTTAGTAATATTCATTTTCTGATACATTATCAATCACCAAAAGTTAAAATTTTTAGAGAAAAGAACTAATAAAAACAGGTATATTGAATGAACATGGCATCATAATGAACACAGCTAATAACTAAGTTCAAAGCTTTTACCTATACAATACCACAGCTTCTTTTTTGGAACTACATCTATACTTGAATTCAGTGATATTCATGTTACCCACCTGTATCCATAAATGATTATCAATCCAGGACCATTTCTTTCCACAAGGAATATGGTGTTGATTAAAGCTATAGCAAAAATACCAGTTCACAAAAACGTTTGAAGCTTCCAGGCTCTTCTGGCATGATAGTAGCAAGCACAGCTTCTTGCTGCCTACCAACATTTGCAAGTTCAGTCACTATTCTTAATTTGTCAAAGTTCATGTTCGCCCCACTGGTTATTGCTACAACATTCTCTCCCTTCAGACCATAATATTTACAGTAAGCTTCAGCTCCAGCAAGCGCTAGAGCGCCTGCTGGTTCTAAAATACTTCTTTTCTCCTCAAACATGTCCTGCAAGATAAAAACTAGGTTGTAAATTTAAAATCCTGTCCAAATAACCAAAACATCTCAATTCGATACAAAAAAGAAAAACATAGTGCTGTAAAAATAAAAATGCCAACATGTTTTCCAGACAAAAAGTTAGGCACTATCCCCAGAAGAAATATACTACAGAAAGAAACCTGTCAAAGGAAAAGGTCCATGACATGAATACACACACACCAAACTGAGGGAAACGTGTAGATGACTGTGGGTGCATAGAGAGAAGGTGAATGAAGGATGGGAAAAATAGAATCAGACTCTGTAGAACAGGAGCCAGATTAATTGTTATAGCATTAGACACTGAAATCACATAAAAAAAAAACCTTCATATCATAAATGAGGCCAGGAATTACACAAGAGAGCAACCTGATTATAATATTTAAGTCAAGCAATAAGATCCAAATATAAAACTTAAGATCTAAAGAACATATGGCAAAGACTTAATCTTTTTGTGCACTCCTAAAATGAGACTATGCAAAAGACAGACTAGGCTACATGCAATAAGCATACTGCACAGAAGATCAAAGATATTGCTTAGCTTAGACTATGCACTTCGGTCGTGAAACACAGATCACCAGAAAAAACTGATATGACATTAATTCCAACAAACATCAACAAGTGGGACCAACAAAGTCAGCAAACCTTTCCAAGCAAAAGTTAAGCATTCTTCAGTTTCCTCCACTTCAAGCCATAAGGTAAATCCATTTCCCCAATCTCAACACTTTCTAGCTTTCAAAAAAAGAATATATTTTGTCCCAGTAAATTTTAACTTTTCAAATCTGCACTTGAATCAGATATCCTAACTCAAAGGCTAACAAGATCACCTTAAGTAAACGTAAACCTGAAAAAGAAAAGGAAATACTGCTCTGACTAACATCCACAGACCACATGCACGCAATTAAAAATGAGAGAAAAGTCACCTTTATTGATGCACAGATGGCATCACGGCTGACAAGAACTACACCGTCTATCAATTCCTTGCATAATCGGAAAGTTTCTTCACCAACTTCTTTAACAGCTACACCATCTGCAAAACCCCCAACCTGGTCCAATATCACTCTCTCCCCATGATGCAATGACAGTGCCATCGCATTTGCATCAGCGGGTTCTACTCCAATGATCTTTACCTGTAGATAATATCAATCAGTACTGGCAACAAACAAGTAAATGCTGAACCAGATAAAGAGAAAAGGAATGAAAAAGATCAAACAAGTTATGCTCGAAGACAGAATACACTAATTTTTCTTCTCAAAAAACTCTCTATGAAAGAAATCCAAAAATCACCGATAAAAATAAAATGTCAACATCTCTCAAGGATAGAAAGCAATAGATATGCATTTCATCACTCAAAAGCGCATCAATAATACTAGAGTGACAAAAAATTAATTAAGATCCTAAGATATGATACTGGAGATTTACGACCTCAAATCAAGACCAATGGTAATATGATGGCTGAATAGGAGTAAAACTTTATACTCATAGACAGCATAATAACAGGATGATTACGAGAAAATAAATTTGTTTTAGTAACAATGTAGTCCCATGGCTCCTGACAAGCACTTTGGCCACAACAAAACTTGCAACTAAAAATTGTAGGCTACAACTCTACAATAACAATCAATAGGTTAACAAAATAAAGATTGACAACAAATTTTACACAACAAGCAACATACCTCAGGAGAAACCCTCTTTACATATGCAGCAATACCAGCTATCAGTCCACCACCTCCGACGGGAACAAAGATTGCGTGAAGGGGACCTTGCATTTGACGCACAATTTCCATTCCAACTGTTCCCTGCCCCATAATTACATCAGGGTGATCAAAAGGAGGTATGAAAGTCCGACTCTCCTCTTTGCCACGTTTTTTAGCATATGCTTGTGCCTCGTCATAAGAATCTCCTACAAGAACAACTGTTGCACCCAACTTCTCAACTGATCGCCACTGTTGATAAAAGGAAATCCAAAATTCAATTAAGAACCACATAGTAATGATACTTTCAGAAAAAAAAACAAGAATCACATAGTAATGACAAAAATCATTTAAGCACATAAAACAAAACGTACCTTGATCTCTGGTGTGGTAACAGGCATAGCAATCACAGCACTACATCCCAGTCTCTTGGCAGCTAGTGCAACCCCTTGGGCATGATTTCCAGCTGATGAGCAGATAACTCCCCTTTCCAACTGTTCCTTGGGAAGTTTTGCCATCATATTGTAAGCCCCACGAAGCTTAAACGAGAAAACCTGAGATCAACATGACAAAATCCATGAAATGTAAGAGCCATTATCCATTCACACAGAAAAGAAGACATGAATACCTTGATATAAAACATTTTATATCTCAAGTAATTGAAAATTCCAAAAAGCAAAAAATAGCATCTTTAACACCCACCATGTAAAAGAAATTTCTTTCTTATCTGACAGCCCAAGTAACAAAAGTTAACAAAATTAATCCTCAGTAGATAAAAGGGGAAAACTTTAAAAAGAAAATGGTACGAGGTCTGAAGCTCAAATCAATTAATTTCCTAGTTACAACTAAAACAATGGGTGAGGGGAGCTTCAGCTTGGTTGAATAAAAGTAGATGAGAAAGCTGCATAAGATTGGTGGAGCAGATATAAACCTCCTGGTACAAATTTAAAAGAGAAAATGCTGATATGCCAGTGACAACTTAACTAAACCATAATCCAATATCCGTCAATTCACATATAACAAAATTAATAAATACATGAACTAAGAAAGTTATCTATTATTACAGACACCTAGAGAAACCCAGAAACTTACACGACCAAATACATGACCACTAAAAAGCCCCCAAAGCCAACACATTGAAACGAGCACAAAAATGAAACGACCAAATACAGATATCAGAGAATCAAATCACGTAATGAGGGGAAAAAACCAAAAAATAAATAACTTACGGGCTGCAAATCTTCTCTCTTCAACCAAACCTTAACGCCAAACCTCTCCGATAACTTGGGCGCTAACTGCAACGGCGATTCAATAGCAACGTCGTACACTTTCGAGGAGAGAATGTTCGTCAAATAGCCCATAGCATTAATAATATTGTCGCTAGCATCGAGAACCGTACGGTCCGGTACAGCGCCCAGGTAACCGGTCGGATACTGCAGGGAATTCGGGGAGACCTTCTTGCGGGGAGCCGCCAACGGCTGTGTTTCGCGGGGAGTAACAGTGGTGGGCGCAACATCGGCCGTTGATCTGGAGGAAACAGATGCCTTGATAAACGGCTTGACGGGGCGCATTCTTCCAGCTTGAGGAGCAGCTGGCGCGACCCACTTGTGGCGGAGAAGCGGCGGCTGCGATGACGCCAGCCGTAGGGCCTCCATTGTCGAGAGAAAAAAAGAGAAAGAGAAAGCTTATAACCTCTGTCAAAAACGGCGAGATGTAGAGTTGAAGAGAAATAGGAAGGGAAGGATTGCGCTGCAACCAGCCGCGCAGCTTTCTCTCCGGCTTCCTGTTCAGGAAAATATAAACAACGGGGTGAGCGTGTTTAGTCTGCTGGGTTTCCTAAAACGACGAGGGAAAATGGAAAATGCGCACGCACTCTTTCCTATTCCAACAACTCTGTTCTCTTCCAGCCCCCTGAATGAGGTAATACTTATATTCATACAATACACGTATATGTACGCCTATATTACATGGAACTATAAGTTTTTCTATTCGAAATTAATAAGTAAATTCCATAAAAAAATATGTAATTGTTTTTTAAAAAATTAATTTTTATATGGTTTTTAATTGCTTTATTTAAATATTTTAGGTAAGGCAACAATTTTTACCCGAAACCGCCCCGAACTCAACCCATTATAAATTTTTTAACAAGCAGCGGATTCGTGTTGAATCGAGACCGGTTTAATATAAAACTATAACGTAATAGAGTGGGTTCGGGTTTAATCAATTAAAAATCATTCTAAACTTAAACTTTATATATATATATATATATTTATTTTATGTTAATATAAATATATAAAAAAATAACATATTTTTAATAATTACATTATGTACAAATTCAATAATTGGTAAATTTGATATTGTCTCAAAAACTTTTTTTAAAAAATTATAAACCTACCCGAAAGACTGCAAAAATTCAAAAATTATTCGGATACAATGAAATTCACTCTAAACTCATATTATTCTCGTTCCTAAATTTAAATATAATTAAAATATATGATTAAATTATACTCTTAATGAAACTAATTTATTATATATTTAAAATTTAAAAATAATCAAACTAAAACCTTTCTCAAGACTACTCACGATTTATGTAAACGAGTAACACATTAATAAAACCATTGTAATATTAATTTAAATGTTTGAACGCTTTTTACGTTAATTAGTACCATCAAGTAATCAATTATCCAAACCTTTGTTTTTTGTTTTAATCATAAATATCAATTACTCAAATCTCAATTCATCATAACTTATAAGATAAAATATTATTATAATATATAGGTTATATTTTTTGCGTATTTTATACTTATTTAAATTTAAAAAAATATATTTTAATTTATATATTGCTTGTAGGGATGGTCGTTATTCGATTTAGATTCGAGAAATTGGACCGATCTAGTTAGGTTTGTCTAAACTAAATAAATATTTGATTTCTTTAATTGAAAATTTTGATTTAATTAAGATGAATTAATTTTAAAT